CGATCCCATCCTGATCTTGTCTCAATCCCATGATAATCCCACCCCAAAGCTCTCCCAGTGCTAAATGTTTTTATTTTGAGGCCAATAATCAGTTTTTACCCGATCAGTAACCACAACTGGAAGGACACAAGATATGAAATGAAATTAATTGACAGGAAACTGAAGAGCTCAACTATCTCTCATACATGTTCACGCTGTCCCACAACGAAGCAACCTCGTCTTAAAATTACAATTAGACACAAGTTTGTTTTTAGAGCCATGATATGAATACAAATTCACATCCCACCCTGATTCCATCCATCCCATCCTGATCCCCACTCTTATTCCGATCGTCAACATCATCCTTCATGATACAATCGCCAATCTTGTTTGAATTCCTTCCAGTCCCAAACACGTCCCAATCAAGTTCGAAGCCCATCCTGATCTCACCCTAATCCTGTTCTGATAGCATCCTCATTCAATCTCTTCACGATTCTTGTTCCAATACAATCCTGATCCTGCTCTCAATCCCATCTCCATCCCGTTCTGATCCCACCCAGATTCCCTTCCAGTCCCGTCCCAATCCCAGATCTCGATCAGATCCTCTTCCGATTCAACCCTGCTCCCGTTCCAATCCCCAAACTCACTCCCGTTCTGATACCCTCTTGATCCTTAATCCTGCAGTACCATATGTTTAGTACATTTACTCTTGAATGTATTTGATATATATCAAAGTAAAACAAGCCAAAGAATGCTTTATAAAAGCAAAGAACTGAAATAAAAGGTTATTATTAAACTGATAAAACGGTAAATATAGAGAATCTTTCCAGGCATATTGGCACTCAGGGGTTTGATGTGTCACATGCAAGAAAAAGATTGTGGATTTTGTTCAGATTTAGTGTCGAGAGAGAGCGAGAGAGAGAGAGAGAGAGAGAGAGATCACAACATCATTATTTGTGTAAATGAGAGAAAAACAAGCTCACATTCACAAACTCATGACTTGTCTATGTGAGAACGAGGACATCTATCACATTCATAAGGACAGTGACACTGTCTGTGTGGTTTAATTGTGAACGCTTGGCAACAGCTTCAGCTCATAAAGCAAAAAAGCCAGAAAAACAGAGAAACCCCTGCAGAGCGAGCGAACAAAGGCAGAATTCATCTTGTTTCCAACGAGAAGTGACTGAGCCTCGGCGTGAGTCACCACGCTGACTAACACCGGCTCACATACTGTACGCTCTACACATGGAGGGAAGTGCTGCTAAACACACTGCAAGCCATCAGAGAAATGTTGTGTGTTCATCTGCAGCAGCGGCGTTTAAAAAAAGGGTTTGCTAATGCACCTCCAGTCTCAGCTGCAACTCTCTCCATCGTGGGGGAACAAAAAGTGGGTTTCTATCCGCCTGTTCTTATCAGCATTTTAAACACCTGAGTGCAAAAATATTAAATAATAAATATTGGTTTCTAATATTCACTTCCTCCAGGATTTCACCTGCAGCCAGGTAATGGTTGATGAAGACGGGGTTCCCGTAGCAGAAGCACTTATTCTGCTCGTAATCAACCAGCAGGTCTGGTGTTGACACATTTAACTCGATTGCTGTTCCGCTTTTTTTCAGGATATTTGGTCTTTTCAATCAATTTCCAGATGTTTCACAGGTTTTCAAGGATACATAGAATCTTAACTTTATGCACAGTTGAGGGCAACAAAGGCTAACCGCCTGAAATTCCACCATGCACGTCTTCAGATCCCTCCGAGAGCGTCTTTAATGGTAAACGGACTGTTGTATAGTTCCTTTCTTTACTCTATATCACATTCACATGTTCACACTCACTGAAGACAAAGGCCGACACAAACAGTGACTAACTCATTCATACGCCGATGCATCAGGAGCAATTCAAGGTCCAGTATCTTGCTCAAGGACACTGCGACATTCAGCAGGAGCAGGCAGGGACCGAACCACCAACCTTCTGATTAATGGACAACCCGATCTACCTCCTGAACCACAGTCGCTGCTCTTTGTGGTTGTTTATTGACTTTATAAGAATAAAACTGCCAACTCATACAGAGGTTCTGACACTAATAAGCCAGCTCTCTCTCACACACACACACACACACACACACGTGCGATTGAAGGAGACCAACCATTACGTTATGAGGCGAACGCTGCTGGTCGAAGCTTCGACTTCGCTGGTCAAAATTCAACATAAAGTTTATAATATAAAGAAAAGAGGCAAACTGGCAGATGTGTGACTGTGCTCTCGTACTGTCTCCTGACTGTGGTAGGGGGTTGGTCTCTAGGGCAGTCTGTGTTACAACCCCTCTGGTCCTGCCCGCGAACAAACCCTCTTCTATGCAGGAACACATGCTTCAGATGCTTCAGAGCCTGAATGGACAAAGGATGACTCATAATAGATGGAAAACGACACGATATTAATATTATTATTATTATTATTATTTTATCAGATTAAACTGGCAAAGACCTCACAATTTGTTTTTGTCAGTTCTGAGACTATTTGGTTGAAACAATCAGCAGAATTTAACTTTCCGTGTTTTACTGCCACTTTCGTTTTTGGAAACTGGAAACAGAGGCGGCGTGCTGGCGAGGCGTGTGTGTGTGTGTGTGTGTGTGTGTGTGTGTGTGGTGTGTGTGTGTGTGTGGTGTGTGTGTGTGTGTGAGTGAGTTAGCAGTCACATGAGGGTCCAGGATGTCACAAAGGTTAAAGTTAGGTCATTGACTGAAAGTGAGTGTTACTATAGACGGCATCGCCTAGGGCTCAGCACATTATCCATACATGTCAGTTATTGATTATTCCCCTCAGACACACACACACACACACACACAAGTACGTAGGAAAATCAGATCAGACATTATAATAACAGACCCTTTGAATGAGGCTCGGATCCGACCTGAAACTGTAGCTCAACAGTGTCTCATATGTTCACTCTGTCCTGCAATTAAACACCACAGAGCCAGAATATGACTATAAATGGTGGTCGATTTGTGTCTCTTTGTAGTCGTTTATAACAATAATTGATAACTGCCAACTCATGCAGAGGTTCGGATACTAATAAGCGAACTCGGGGGTCACACACACACACACACACACACACACCGTACGAATGCAAGAGAGCAACCATCACATGCCGTAGTGAACGTACGCTACCCGTCTTTGCTGTTGGTCGAAGCTCCAACTTCGCTGGTAAAAGTTAAAGAGGCAAACTGGCAGATGTGTGACTGTGCTCTCATACTGTCTCCTGACTGTGGTAGGGGGTGTGTCTCCAGGGCAGTCTGTGTTACAACCCCTCTGGTCCTGCCCGCGAACAAACCCTTGTCTATTCAGGAACACATAATACACTCAGAGACACTCTGCTGCTACTCACACTTACAGTACAACAGTGAACATCACAACTGGATTAACTGAGTAAAGCATCAGACCTTCCGATAACCACATCCCGACACACAATCTCTAGAAACACAAATCTTCATATGAATGCAGAATCTGAAGGCGAGGGACAAGATGTCGGCATTGGAAGTTCACATTTGTAGTCCGTAGAAGTATCGACCAATCACGTTTGAGCAGAACCCATCAGCTATCGTCTGAGGACCCTTTAGCATCTTATTCCCTTTTATCTGCAGATATCTGCTGATGGACATTATTATTATTATTATAATTATTATTATTATGAGCCAAAATTTTACTTTCTCGTCATTCTCGTAAATCAAGTTGTGAATCAGGTTTTTTACGGTGTATTAAAGCAGTTCATCTGGTTGAAAGTTTCCCCTCTGACCACACCTAACACCTGTAACCAGACCTAACAGTGATGTCACTGTGTACCTGAGTACACCTGTACATCACTGCAGCAAACTGAGAAGTTTAACTACTGGTTGTCTGCAGATTTCCAGTTGAAGAATTCGTTCAATCTTCAATAACTGAACATTTGTTTTGAAGAGAGAGAAGTTCATCATTATATATAATGGGCCTTTAAGGTGGGTTCTGACTTTAAGATGGTTTAAAGGTACAGTGTGTAACACTAAGGAGGATCTATTGTCACCTGAATATAAGAATCGTTGTGTTTTTGTGACTTCGGCTCTGGTGACGCTTCACTGGAGAATCGAGGTCTCTATTGTTTGTTCATATTGACGTTATACCAGCAACATAAACACCGTTCACTACAGTTTCAGTGTCAAAAGCTGCAGAATTTACATTGATTTTTTAACTCTTTGGTATTTATCAAAGACAGAAAGTAAACGCTGCACATGACAGCATCGTAGCCATCAACGCGCTGGTTGTTGGCAGTGTGAACGAGATGATTTTATCTACAGAGGAAGCAGGTCCTCTTTTGGCGGAGTCCGCCATGTTTGAACCGCCATGTTTCTACAGAAGCCCAGAACACTGGAAGTAGGTTGGACCTTTCACTAGTTCCTAAACACTCTCGGAAGGTTAGCTGTATTCAAACGGTTGCAATGTGCAACTTCACCACTAGATGCCACTAAATCCTGCACACTGGACCTTTACTCCTTCCTACAGCAGATGTTAATTGACTCTGTAAAGAAATACTTTTAGGGTCAAGAATTACGTTTCACCATCGATACCTGAACGTTTATTTACTTCCTGTGTTTTAAATATACTTTTAATAAATCAAATTTTGTGCTTATAACTTAAACTTTTAAATGAGTTTAATCAGAATATTTAGTGGATGTAAGAATGTGAGGGGTTTCCTGCTGTTATCTTCTTCAGCTAATTTAATTTAACTAACTCACTTAACACACACATATTACTGGCTCTTTCTAATGTTTTTTTTTTTTCTGTATCTTGTATAATTTTGCAGCTATAAGATATTTTCTACAGTTTGGAACCAAACAATAACATTTTTATGGTAAAAGAAAAACCCAGAATTGTTCCTTTAATGCACGACACTAAACACTGAACTTCACATACTTTAACTTTTCCACATTAAATAACTTTTGCAGGAGTTAGAGGCTCTGATGATGAGGACTTGCTTTTACACGCTTGGTTACCTTCTGGTCCACGATGGAGCACGCCACCTCCCGGACCTGACTGAGGCTGAGCTCTGCGGCGTCCAGCAGCACCGGCTCCCGGCTCAGACCGATCTGGATGTGGAAGGAGATCACACCGCCACCTCCTCCTCCTCCTCCTCCTCCTCCTCCTCCTGCTCCACCACCTCCTCCTCCCCCGGTGCCGCTGTTGGTGTTGTTTGTCCCCCCTGAGAACGGGAGCGGGCTGGGCGCACGGATCAGCGGAGGCGCACTCATATGAGCCTTTTCCCCGGTGGTTTCCAACCCTGCCAAGAAACAATTAGGAGTCGCGACGGTGATAAATGACCGGTTGGATGGAGGGGGGGAGCGGGAGCCGACGGGGTCCAGGTGGAGCAGCCACAGGAGGGATTTAGAGCGTGTGGAGAGGCGCGGGGACGCTCGGACGCACGGAACTTAGCCCCCCTCCCCCCCCCAAAAAAAGCGCAAAAACAAGAGTTTCCGACAGAAACGACGACTGATTAACAATCACCAACTCTGGTTTGGTGGAAATAAATGCGCAGGAGAGCCGTGAGGAGACAAACAGAGACAGGATGTGAATACAGAGGGAATCAGAAGAGACATAATGACTACATGACTGGACCAGAGAGCAGCGTGGATACCGGTGATGCGGGTGACAGAGCCATGGACGTCAACAGTGGCTGGAGAGGAGGAGGAGGAGGAGGAGGGAGGAGAGGAGAGAGGGGAGAGAGCTCCTGGACTGATGGATGGAGATGCACAGTAGCTGAGGCACAGTTGGATAATAATCTGATCAATGAACTTTATAGCTGAAAGAGGGAAACTTGTCATTAAGTCTTCATTTTTTAGGGTTAAATTTGAGTTAAAAATAAAAGTTTATAACATTAAAAACTCAGAAGAGCAGAGTTGTGGTTTAGGAAACAACTGACACTGGATTCAAAACGACCTCTTCTGTTCAATTATATTTATTTAAATTGAGTTAATGTGATGTATGCTAAAAAAAAAAAAAACTCTATTTTCCCAACATTAACATTATTAACATTTTAAAGCCCCTTTTAGGCAAATTGTGATTTTTGATATTGAGTTATAGAAACAAATTGATATATTTCTGGTGGAGAAATGCTGAATCTTTAAGTCTTGGTTGTAATAAATGTTATAAATATGAAATTCAGTTGCTACTGGATGTCGAACTAAAGCACCAGCATCTCCGACCAAAACAATGAAACAAGAATAAAACTCACCAGAACTGTCTCTGTTAGTGTTTCCAACAATCACCAACTCTGGTTTGGTGGAAATAAATCCTTAATTCACCGACGTAGATGATAAAAACAGCAGTTTCAGTCGGAGCAGACCGGCTATGGAAACAAACCACAGAGAGGCTGCGATACAACACAGGCAGAGGGAGAGAGACACCATGTGACTCTGTGTCTGTATATAGAGAACAGCTGATATATTAATGTTTGTATAACCTTTAAAATAGGCCTTAAAATGACTTCCTTGCTCTGAATGGCGGCAATAAACCCGATCTGGACAGACAGAAAGATGGATTCCACTGACTCAACATCCCATAATGAGATTAAACACACACGAAGGATGAATGGATGATCTCTCTGTGTGGACAGACAGATGCAGACAGATGTGGCCGGTTTATCACACACACACACACACACACACACACACACCTGTTGAATGTGAGACCCGTCGGCTCTGTCTGCAGACGGAGAGTGAAGTGTGTTGGTTGCTAGGAGACACACACACACACACACACACACATAAATGTATACACAAAGACAGCCCTCCTACGCTTCAACCTCGCCTCCACTTACTTCCATTTATTACCAAGGATGATGCCAGACTCGTGGCATATGGTGTGTGTGTGTGTGTGTGTGTGTGTGTGTGTGTGTGTGTGTGTGTGTGCAGTGAGAGACCGGGTCTTCCTGGTCGGGTCAGCGGGTCAGTGTTTGGCTACTGATGATGTCATAATTACTGCCTATAGTTATTAATATGATTGTTTATGACTCAGTAAGTCTGTCACATACACGTGTGCGAACCTACGGTGACCTTTTGAAGCGTTATGGTCGACGTCATGTTGGTTGAGCTGCTCTCATTGGCTGCAGCTCACCTGCTCTCACACACACACACACACACACACACACACACACACACACACAATCTCGTATTCCAGACAGTTTGATCTGAGTTTGGTGCGTTGAGCTGGACGGACTCACTGAGAATGAGCTGTCAATCACAAGGTAGCCCCGCCCTAAAGCATACCCTGCTTTATGGTCTGTTTTACTCTAAATGGGACCATCAGTTACTAAATGAACATCATGCTGTATGGAAGAAGACTGAAACTAGAGACTGAGACCAGAAACTCATCAGGAAACTGTTTACTGAGATAATAAAACAACTGAGAAGTCGGATTATTTCGCCATAAGACTCGATACTATCAGAGTGGAGCGGCCTCCTGCTGGCCGATAGAAAGAATGCAGATTTTATGTATTTTTTCATCCACGTTGCAACATTATGTACATTTTGTCAGCTGTTAAATCCATAAAGATCTTTGTGTGAACGACTGAGTGTTTTTTTTCTCATTATATGATTCCCGATTTTATATTAAGCCCCAAATTCCACGAGCACCCGGGACAGGAGCAGTATCAACCAATCCAATCGCGGCTGAGCGTGCTTCGGTTGAGGGTAAACAGTCCGTGTGGAGAACGAAAGAGGCTGAACGCTATCGTCTGAGGTCATTAAACTTTCTAGATATCTGTGTGTGTGAAACTTTCTCATCGTTCTCACTAATCGGGCCGCGGACGCAGTTTTGAAGTTGATTCAGTTTGTCTTTATAAACTACCGCACGATCAGTCTGGATTATTAATCCGGCTGCTGTGTGTCCTGATTGACAGATTAACCTGAAGTCAGATTACATTTTGACGTACAGGAATAATCTCATCACCGAGGGCTTCGTCTGTCTGTACCTACGAGTAAAATCCTGCAGACGCATCCTCTCCAGTGATTCACTCTGCCAGGTTCAGCTCCCTGAAAATCCTCCCAGGCTGATCTGTGTTGTGTAGTAATCGTTCTTATTTATAGAGCCGGGTGTTAAAACTGTACCATGAGTCAGAGCAGATGATGCTTTGGCATCAAACTTCATGACGGCAGAACTTTATTCATCGAACAGAGAGAGGAGAGCCCCGACTGGAAAACTGACTCAGAGCACTTTACACCTGACAGACGACCTCTTGTGTTCCTGCTGGAGGGAACTTTATATTCATATAATATATTAACATATATAAGATTAGGAATTTAACCCACCACTACCCAAAGACTCGTGGTTAGTTTATGTCTGTTTGTGGTCATTTTGTGACTGTTCGTGTCACTTCGTGTCTCTTCGTGGTCGCTTTGTGTCACTTCATGTCTCTTTGTGGTCGCTTTGTGTCTCTTTGTGGCCGCTTTGTGTCACTTCGTGGTCGCTTTGTGTCTCTTCGCGGTCGCTTTGTGTCTCTTCGTGGTTGCTTTGTGACTCTTCATGTCACTTCGTGTCTCTTCGCGGTCGCTTTGTGTCACTTCGTGTGTCTTTGTGGTCGCTTTGTGACTCTTCGCGGTCGCTTTGTGTCTCTTCGTGGTCGCTTTGTGTCTCTTCATGTCACTTCGTGTCTCTTCGTGGTTGCTTTGTGACTCTTCATGTCACTTTGTGTCTCTTCGCGGTCGCTTTGTGTCACTTCGTGTGTCTTTGTGGTCGCTTTGTGACTCTTCGCGGTCGCTTTGTGTCTCTTCGTGGCCTCTTTGTGTCACTTCGTGTGTCTTCGTGTCTCTTTGTGGTCGCTTTGTGTCACTTCGTGTCTCTTCGTGGTTGCTTTGTGACTCTTCGCGGTCGCTTTGTGTCTCTTTGCGGTCGCTTTGTGTCTCTTCGTGGTTGCTTTGTGACTCTTCGCGGTCGCTTTGTGTCTCTTTGCGGTCGCTTTGTGTCTCTTTGCGGTCGCTTTGTGTCTCTTCGTGGTCGCTTTGTGTCTCTTCGCGGTCGCTTTGTGTCTCTTTGCGGTCGCTTTGTGTCTCTTCGTGGTCGCTTTGTGTCTCTTTGTGGTAATTATGAGTCTCTTTGTTTTGGCTAGCTGCATACAAAGCACAGCAGGGGTCAATGCTAACTGTCTTCGACTGTATCACTGATCAAACCAAACAGCGAATGAGAGATGGTGGTCAGTATTCAGAGACATCAGCTACTACCTTGTCCTTTTCCTACCTTATTTTCACTTCGATTTATTTCAGTTTATATAAATCCTTTCTGTGTGAAAGCTGAGTACGACTGAGCCCCTAAAATAACATTGATAACAATGACCAAATATTTATTTTCACCATGAATTTGATCTCTCTTTAACCTTAATCACAGAGTTTTAATTCAACAGTCACATGAAACGTTTTGGACGAACAAGGTGGTTTATTGTTCAGTTGTTAGAAAATGTAGATGGACGTGTCATCATGAATTCACTGACGTCCATGAACTGATCTGTAATCAGTTTGTGTGTAACATCAGGCGGTGAGCCAACATCTCTCTGACTGAACTTTAATGTGAGGTGACTCAGCAGACTCCCACTCTGAGCCTGAAAGCTCATCCTGAACAGTTGCCTTCGTTCACCTGCTCAGTTTTTCTCTATATTACAAAAATAACTTCCACGACCACAATAGCAGCACTATCTGACCCGTCTGGATGTCACTCTGTCTCCTTCAGGTGACATTTATATCCAGGAAGAGACGGTGGTCAGACAAAGAGCAGGACCATGTATCAAAGTGGGGTCTTCCTTCCAATAATGTGAGTTTCAGAGACTTTGTTTCCTGCATTTTGTGACTTTTAAAGAATAAAAGAAATAACATTGATACATTTTTTGCTATTAAATCACATTAACACATGTTTATTTTTGGGTCTTATACCAACGTAGTGAGACAGATTTAAGGGGGAATTTTTGCTGTTGAGAGTAAAAGAAATCTAAAAATCGATTATATTTAATAGATTAAAATGTAAAATTCAAGTTTAAGTTGCTGAATAAATGTTTTTTATCAGTGAAAACAGAAATAATTACTGTCATTTCACAGATAATGACTTTTATTACAGTTCTATAACTTTTAAAATTCAGATTAAAATAAGAAAAATCCAATAATAACAGCACTCTGCTCTTTTGCAGATTTAGTTTCTCTTTTGAGAGTAAAGGTTGCAGACGGCTGCACTGGGCCACAGATTTTACGAGCTCCTGCGTTGTTACTGATGTTATCAGGACCCGAGCAGGAACACAGCGAAGGCCCTATTTAAATACCAAATGAAACGGCCTTAACTGGCTCGAAAACTCATTCAACTTTGCACAAAATACCTTTGGAGTGTAAATTTAAGTTTTATTTTGGTCCCATGCATTGGCGTTACAAAATGTCATAGCCACGCCCCCCAGAATCAGCCCCCAAAACATGTACGGCCGATGAAAGTTGGTACGCACGTGTATCATGATCAGACAAGCAAAAAACCTCTGGGACCCAAACCCAACAGGAAGTCGGCCATTTTAAATTTCATGGTCATTTTTGGCGATTTTTCACGTTGTATTTGAACTCCGAGGGAATTTATTGGATCAACTTCAACGCCGTGAACTTTGTCACAACTTCAGCGTACATGGTCCCTGAACACATCTACATGCCAATATATCGTCATAGTGATAGCGCCACCTCCTCCTGGTAAGCGTTGTGTGGTGATTAAGATCTCATCTACATTTAATTTTAATGTTGTGGTTCACACATGATGCAGCACACTGCTCGCAGCTTTAATGTTCTACAATGAACCTGACTAACTACCTGCTCTCCTCGAATGTGTCACTTCTCACAAAAGAAGCTGAATTATTGTCGGTATAAATCCGTAAATAACCAATAATAATATAATATAATATAATATAATACAGACACAAATCATCAGATAATTGTCACTCTGTGTGTGTGTGTGTGTGTGTGTGTGTGTGTCTGCGGGGTCGTGCTGTATTAGTGGAGATGATTATTATCCTGTCAGAGCTGCACTTCATCCAAACGTCGCTCTGTCACTCTCCTCCGTGTTATCGGATCATTTCCATCAGGTGATCGGTCATTCAGAGGAACAGCCAATCATCTGATTGATCCGTCACTTAGCCACAGTAATTTACACTAAATGACTCACGGTGAAAAATCAACCCCCTTTGCTATAAAACAACATAAATGTTATTTTGTAGCAACGTTTGGTGTTAAGATTAATTAATTTAAAATAATTTAAAATGGAGATTAATGTTTGTAATTGAATGATTTGTTCACTAAGTGGATGTGGAATTAGGTTTCTTACACATAATGAATGAAGGTGAACCAAGATAATGTGCTGTAGGAGGGATGAAGGGTAATGTTTGTTCCCACCTCGTGTGGTGATGATTCATATTTACTTGAGTATTGTGAGGCAAAAATCTTCCCTTTAACTTGCCCTTTAATTTCATTTTGTAGTTTTCCTCCTCTTGTGTCCTGTGTTGCTTTACTTCCTGCCTTGACTGCGTTCAGCTGTGTCTCATTAGTTTCCTCCTCACTATATATTGCCTGTGTTTCATTCCTCCTCTGCCACTTTGTGTCTTTCCTTTATCTCTGTCGTGTGTTTTATGTTTTTGGACTCTACTTATCTGGATTTGTTTGTTTTTGCGGATTGACCTCGTGTGTATTGAACTCAGCTTTGGCAAGTAAAGACTGTATTTTTGCATTTAGATCCTGTCTCTTGTGGTGATTTTAAGTCCTTTTGCCTGTTATTTGTCTTAACACAGTGTGTTTGCAGCCAACGGATTTTTGTTTTGGAGAAGAAAATAAAATTCTGGAAAAAAAGACGTCTTTTGTTTTGAAAATAAAAAACAAATGATAAAATTTGTTTCCCAAATTTATAAATGGTAGTCGGGAAGGTCGATGTACTTTGCGGCCAACATATTTTTGTTTTGAAATGAGAAAACCAAAATGAACAATTAATAAATGGCTCATATTTTTGTTTCTGCTTTTATTTAAAAAAAAATGGAAAACTGCTCGTTTCCTTTTTATTTGTTTTTCTCATTTTAAAACAAAAATCTGTTGGTTGCACCGGTACACTGGACCTACGGTGGTATGAGCCAAAGCTAAACATATTTTGCTGTGATTTAATTACAATAAATGGATCAAAAGGATCCTGAAATAACTGCATCATGATGCCAATTTGGGAAATGTCTGAATTCATGTTTTGACAGTCTGTCTGCAAGACGACGACCAAACAACTTTTAAAATGCTTGTTTTCTGAATGGAGTTTGGTTGATCAGGGCAATGCTAACTTAGTTCATAGTAAAGTGAAACAGATGGCTGGTAGCAGACACATTTTCAGCTGTTACCTGGTAGTCCAACTTCCTCTCTAACTGTAAGGGGGTTGAGCGGGGAAGGGTCGGGTTAGGTGTCAGGTGATTGTGCAGAGATAAGACGAGTTCAAGGCTTCGACTGTTTCTGAACCTAGTTATAAAACTACATTTATGGCCACATTTTAGACCCAGTGATCTGCTTAAGTCCAATGGAAAA